ACTGCTTAAAAAGACCAGAAATTTCCCATATTGTATTCCTGTTATTGTTTGGCGATCTTTGCACATTTTGTTCATTCCCAAATATTTTCTGTCAGTTTCCATCATGATCAGGGGCTTTTTTATACCAGCTCCCAAGAGCAGTTTCTTTTAATCCAGTTAAAAGATACTGGCCTTACTTGGCCACTGCCAAAACCTGGAAATCTAGGTCCAGGTCTAAATCCAGGAATACAACCAAACTGCATTTTCAGGGTGTGTTTAACCACATCCTGTACAGGTTAGATCCTATAACAGGGTTTTCTTCGCAAGATTTCTTTAGAGGAGGTTAGCCTTTGGCTTCCCCGAAGCTGAGAGAATATGACTTGCCCAGGGTCACCCAGTGGGTTTCGTGTCTGAACTGGGAATCAAACCCTGGTCTGTAGAGTTGTAGTGCAACACTCAAACCAATACAGCAACACTATCTATGGCAGGAGAAGGCAACCTTTTTGAGCCGGGGGCTGGGTTGCTGTCCCTCAGACAATTTGGGGGCTAAAGCACCATAAATAAATAAATAAATATTTTTTAAAAATTAAAAAATTAAAAAAATATGCATGCACACTCTCTCACCCCCAGAAAAGCGATGGCAAAACCTCTGTGGAGATTTTGCCAAGAAAACCCCAAGAATAAGTAATAACAACAATAATCAATATCATCATGGCGGGTGGCGGCAGTGGCGGCAGGACCGGCCTGGGGCCGGTCCAAAGGCCTCGGGGGGCCGCATCTGACCCCTGGGCCTTAGGTTGCCTACCCCCGATCTATGGGGTCATGCAGATTGGCAGCTTGGAGCAGCCTGAGGCCACTCCAGCACCAGTTACCATCTGATTGGCACAGGACTGTGGTGACCGCATGGCCCAGTCTTGATCTGGGCCCCTGCTATGGTCCCAAACAGGATGGCAGCAAAGAATGGATTTTCTTCGCTCTTAGTTTGGCTGGCTTTTCCTGGCTGGGCGCGCTTTCCATGTGGCTTCCAGTTCCTCTGGGGGTGTGTGTCGTCTGAACATCCTGCTCTTCCTTGCCCATTTGTTTTGGGCTATGTAAACTGGATAAAATGCTGGTAAAGTCTTCTTCCCCTTCAATCATAACTGAAGGTAGTAAAAAGACAGGACATATTTTTCTGTGTTTTTAACAGCTGCACAGAAGGGAGAATTTCAGTAAGTACTGTAGGGGGTGAAAAAGCTTCATCCCATTGAATCCCTTCTTCAGTGCTTGTGCATTGTTTTGTACTACATTTGATTATATTAGAGGAATATGAAACTGCTATATGAATTTAATTTATAGCTGTCTAAATTTAATAAAGCTTCCGGTTAATTTCATCAAGGAAAATATTTTTCAGATGTTGGCAGGGAAGCCACACTTTGCCCTTTGGCATGTGGTTTGCATCTTAAATTTATTATTTTGTATTGTATGAGTTACTTTTTGAAGAAAAAGGGCAGTTTCTTTGGTGGATGATCAAAGGTCCCAGAACATGAGTAAAAAAGAAATAATCTTAATAGAATACTAAGATTCAGATGCTAGTATACACCCAACTCTTACAGACAATTCTGTGCTCTAATATACCCAGGGATTTTTTTCTAAAATTCACGGTTGTCACAAGGACTTATCTTTTTATTACTTTATTGTAGTCGATAGACCATTGTAACAACATGTTAAATACATTTTTAAAGAGTGCCGACAGGCATTCAAATCAATGGTACAATGAAATCAAGTTGGTAGTTCTAAAAATACCATACGGCAAATTTAGTAAAATTACTTAAATGAGCATAGTTTTGTTAAAACAACCAGGTTTAAAAATTTTGCCACTTGCTGAGTGAGGAATTTGTCAGAGCCCTGAAGCAGGATGGCCACAAGAAATTTGGAAGAGCACCTAGAGTAGTGCTGTGTGGTGGGACATAATAGATCTTCCCTGGCTCCTTGATAAATATAACAGTGGAAAAGTACATGGGTAGTTAATTTCGTGATTTTCAAGGGGGGAGCATCTCTTGTTCCATGGTGGTTTTTTTTAAATATTAAAGCTGCCAGTTAATAGGTTACAGGGAAGGGCATTAAACCTTGCCAAGAAAAAAAAACTTTCTGTATTTTGGAACAGGCCAAGTGATGTTTAAATGAGAATAAAAGTTTATTCTAGAACAGAATGGAATAAATATAACTTGTTTCCAAGCTTGTCACTATAGTTTCTTTTGCTTACATATAAATAATGTTTGTTTCCAATTCCCTCTTAATATTTCAGCCACACCAGCTAGCAATATCCCTCAGGATATAACACAACTGAAACTCCCTTCCTTAGAGTTATGTATGTGTCCCAAGTCCCTCCTGTCTGGACTCCAGCTAACAAAATTTACAGTTCCCTCAGGAACTCCCAGAAATGCAGCTCTCTCTCTCTCTCTCTGGCTTAACTTAACTCTCCCAAATCTCCAACTGCTCTCCCCCAACTGTCAGCTTGAAATATTTTTTCCCCAAGTCCTCCCAGCTTGAATTCTAGCTCGGGTGCCTCGGGTGCCTCCTGATTAGCCAACTAGATAGTCTATTCACCACAGCTTGCTCCACCATGCTGACAGTCACTTGTTTTCTGTCATTGTCTCTGCTGTCTCTCCCTTTGGAGTGTTGTATAGTTGATTGTTTTGTTAGCGGTTGACTCTCTCTGATTCACAGGTAGCAAGGGAACTACACAATGACCTATGCTTCTTTATCAGCGACTTGGATGAAGGAATAGAGAGCATGCTGATTAAATTTGCAGATGACACCAAACTGGGAGGGGCTGCTAATTTCCCAGAGGACAGGATTAAAATTCAAAATGACTGTGACAGCTTAGAGGGCTGGGCTAAAGCTAACAAGATGAATTTCAGCAGGGAGAAATGTAAGGTCCTATACCTAGGTAGGAAAAAAAAAATGAAACACAGAGATTTAGGATGGGAGACACCTGGCTAGACAGCAGTTCATGTGAAAGGGATCTAGGAGTCTTAGGGGCTGTACAGACTGCCCCTAAGGGGTGGTGGGATGTCACCCTTTTCCTTATTGGATTGGGGCTGTGGCAACCACACACCGCAACCCCGATCTGGCCTTTCCATGGCACAAAAAGAAGCCGCAAAAAGCAGCTCTTTTTTGTGTCACAGAAAGGGTACTGTAGCTGCAGCAGCGGCAGTTTTTCTGCACTCCTTTGGCACAGTGCATGTAGACGCTGCACCAAGGGAGTGCCATGACACCTCCCGCTGTGTGGTGGGATGCATGGCATGAAGCTGATGTGGGGGAAGAGTCAGAGCAGCTGGTGTGTGGTCACCACACCCCCATTCTGTCCCCAGGCCAGTTCTTTATGCCGGTCTGTACAGCCCTGTAGTAGACCACAACATGAGTCAGCAGTGTGATGCAGCAGCCAAGAAAGCCAATGATTCTTGGTTTCATCAATAGGAGTAGTGTCTAGATCAAGGGAAGTGATATTACCACTATATTCTGCTTTGGTTAGGCTTCACCTGGAATACTGTGTCCAGTTCTGGGTATCTCAATTCAAGAAGGATGTTGACAAGCTGAAGTGTGGTCTCTTCAATCCCTGTGGTCTCTTCAATCCCCTGATTCTATGTTATTGCATTAATAACATGCACCTCATGTGTAAAGATATATCATTAAACAGCAAAATTACCATCCATACCATAGTATTTCTTATTTTTATCCATGGGTGTGAAAGTGAAGAAAGATGACAGGAAGAAAATTAACTTACTTGAAATGTGGTGTTGTGGGATAATTCCACAGATACTATGGACTGCCAAAATGACAAATAAATGGGTCCTAGAACAAAGTAAACCTGAACTCTTACTAAAAGCTAAGATGAGTAATCTGAGGCTGTCATACCTTGGACATATCATGAGACAACGTGACTCATTGGCTAATGGTCACTAAAATGGAAAGCAGTAGGAAAAGAGAAATCTGAACTACAGATAGATAGATTCAGTCAAGTAAGCCACAGCATTGTGCACAAGACCTGAACAGAGCAGTTGATGACTGGGGCTCTTGAAGGTCTTTTACTTATATGGGTATCATAAACTGGATTCAACATGATAGTAAATAACAAACATTTCTAATATTATCACAACTTTGAATGGTCTTGGCATGGGAGCTGGATCCAATATAGGGACAGAGCTGTGCACCTGTTGTGCCCAATATTAAGAGATCTTGAGAGCCACTGGGTCATGCCCAGCTCAGGGGAATTGACTCTCTCTGATTCACAGGTGACAAGGGAACTACAGAATGACTTATGCTTAAGTGCATTCCTGTATATGTTATTCCAATGCTGCTTAGCAAGTGGGCTGGGTAAATGGGTTGAGATTGGCTGGCTGGCAGATCCATGGATGCCTGGTTCCTGACACATACTGTAGGCCAAGTCTATTCAGTTGTGACCAATAAAGTACAGCTTTTTCCATCCCAGCAAAATGTAAAGCTAAGCCCCACACTTGCCATTGGATCCACAAATGCATGATGGAACAAAGTAGCCCAATGACAAAATCTCCATGACTTTTCTCCAAAATGTGCATTTAGAGCTTTTGTTGCAAATACAGTATTTTTATAGCATTCACAAGATATTTTTTTTAAAAGAAATGATTTTAGTGTCCTCTGCCATTCCTCTTTCCCAAACAAGAAATCTTATACTTTTAAGATGGGAGAGGCAGAATATTTAGGAAAGAAGGTTTGATGATGCAAATATCTAGAGTTAGCAAGAGTATGGTCAGTACAATCTATAGACAAAACTATCAGCTGCATTTCTTATGTATCTAATTTAGAAGATAAAGAAAATAAATGTGTGTCTGTATGTGTATGTATATATATCTTGTTGCTATACATCTTCAAGTTGACTCTGACTTATCATCATGATAAATCATAGGAGCTTTTTGGCAGGATTTCTTCAGAAGAACTTTCTCAAGGCCTGCCTCTAAGGATGAGTGTGTGTGACTTGCCCAAGATCATCCAGTGGGTTTCTATGCCTGAGCAAGGATTTGAACCCTGGTCTCTGGAGTCAAAGTCCAACACTTAAACCACTATCCCATGTGTTCTCTCTCTCTCTCTCACACACACAGTTCAAGTTGTTTCTGACTTATGGTGACCCTAAGGTATATTATAGGGTTTTCTTGGTAAGATTTGCTCAGAGGAGCTTGCCAATGCCTTCCCATGAAGCTGAGAACATGTGACTTGCCCAAAGTCACCCAGTGGGTTTCTGCAGCTGAACAGAAATCCGAATTCTGGTATCTAGAATCCAGCACTCAAACTCCTACACTATACTGCCTGTACTGTAAGTTATTCAAAGTAATATCAATTCCTCAAGCTTAAATAAACATGTAGTTAGTGCAAGGATTCCGATGGATGCATACACATGAAATCTGCATGGGCAAATTAGTTCTTGACAATAAATGATACAAATAAAAGCAACTTTTTCATGGGGCAAATTGAGTTTTTTCCAGAATTTCTCCCCTGCTCCTACTGTTTCTTCTGTAGGCATCTCTTGCCACATGCATTAGCCTTCCTGTGCATGGAATGATGTAACACAATTGGATTGGCCCTCATGTAAACATGTAGATGCTGTACTAACACTCACATGCAGATAAAATGTTACCTCTCCCTTAGTTGCAATGTGTGGAATGGTGATGAGAGTAAATGTGAGGCTATACATTTGATTTACTACTATCTTTTGGCATAAATAAAACATTCCAAGGTTCTTAACAGAAGCTTGCAGTGCAGTGTTATGCATGCTTACTCAGAAATAAGTTTCACTTATTTGGTGTGATTTACTTCCTGAAACATTTGCATATGATTGTAGTTTCAATAACTTTTCACTACCTAATTGCATAATCTGAGGAAATTTCTGAAGATCTATGTTGATTTAACTGTTTTTAATGTTTCATAATGTGGTGATTATATTGTTTTAACATAAGAGAAAAAGGAAGGGGATAGGACTGACCTGAATGTCAGTTCCCACTGAGTTGGGTAACAGGTTGGGCTTGGGTTTAGGAAAAGAGTTACTTGAAGCAAAATAAATAAAAAAATAAAAAATAAAAAATCCTCCCAAAACAAACAAACAAAAACCCTTCTAAATTCCTAGTTTTAAAAAAGTCCAAAGACCATGCCTATAAGTGTGTAGGGGGAAGTGAATGTATGTAAATAAGAATCCTGTTATGATGATGCTTTCCTTTGAACATTACATTGTGTTTCATTTTGTGTTAATGATACATCTTTTTACTGAAAAAAATGTAGTAATATAAGTCTTGTTGATTAACTTGTTTCTTCACTGATACAAAGAAAGACTTTGGGACAGGAAGCAAAGTTCTTTCATGCCTCAAGTGCTGATCACCTTTGTATTCTACATCTGATAACAGCTAAATAGTGAAAATATAGAAACTTTAAAGCACAGCAGAATAGCGGAGGTCTAGTATTACTGAAAGCAATCAGATCAGACTTGTTTTAGGTGTGCTTTTCTCAAACATTACTAATTGGATTATATTAATTTATGGTTGTGTGTAATTTTGTCCTGATACTAGACTGCAGTTGTGAGACTGCTATGGAACTATATTCAGCCCATTTTGGTAGGGCGGCGGCTTTAAGCATAAATTTCAGGAAAAGTCAAGCGTTTCTGAAAATTGCGGACATCTACTCCATGTGGTGAACTAATGAAATGCCTGTAGTAGCTTCTTGGTGAAGTAAACCAAGGCCTAAAACTAGTCCAACCACTCAGGATAGCCATTGGATTCCTGGATTGGAATGAGTAGATATTAAAAAGCTTCCTGTACCAGTTGAGTCTTGATCTTGCGTTCTGATGTTTATGGGCCTAAGCAGATGGCTTAAAAGGCCGTCTTGGGGGCAGGGAAGGGGAGGGGCAGCCGCACGCTCAGCGCCCCCTCCCCCTCCCGAGGTCGTCCTTGGAGCAGCCGGCCCTCCACACAGCTGGCGCTCCGAGGAGGACCTCCCGCCACAGCGTTCGCAAACGCTGCAGCGGAAAAGTCACCGAAAGTGCGCCGCAGCCTTTTGTGGCACACTTTTGGTGTCTTCTGAAAGGAGTGCTGATTTAGCGCTCCTTTCAGGGGCGGCGAAGCTGCGCCGCGGGATCGAGGCATGGGGATGCCTCAGTCCTGCAGCGCAGCTTCCCAGGGTGGCCCACGGCCGCCCGTCTGCTTAGCCCCTATGTTTGGTTGTAGTTCTGTTCTGGTCTCTTTCCAAATACATAATATATCCAGTATGTAGAGAGATCTTGTAGGACCTTTGAGAATAACTGAAAGAAAGAAGTTGGCAGCATGAGTAGACTTAAGTCTACAAAAGCTCCTGCTGCCAACTTCTTTCTTTCAGTGAGTCTCAAAGATACTACAAGATCACTCTACATACTGATTCCACAAATGGCTATATCTTTGAATATTATATCCAGTATAATTTTGCTTCATATTCTTTGAGATACATATAGATATAGATATATCACATAACCTTTCCCTGAACTCTCCTACCTCATTATGCTACAAAGCCCTCCTAGCTGTCCCCAAACCCTATCTGACCATTTCTTAACACCAGCAGTTTCCCCCCCTCCTCCTAGCTGCAGCCTCCCTTTTCAATATTCCATTCACTTGGCTTGGTGAAATCCAGAAGAAAGCAGATGTCAGTCCTGCCCATGACACTTGGTTTTTAGTTTTGAATCTTGATTCTTAAGTTTATCACATGGCACTTGCAGGAACGCGAACAGAACGGAACAGCATGGAACGGGGTGAGAATGCATGTTGCTACACAGGAGAACACCGCCGATGTCGCCGGGAGTTCCCAAGCTGTTTCCCAGCCATTCCTGGCAGCCAATTTTGAGGAATGGTTCAAAATCGTTCTACAAAATTACCTGCCATAGCATGGATGGGGAATGGCATGGGGACTCCCGGCGGCATCAGTGGCATTCTCCTGTGCGGTAACACACATTCTTACCCCGTTCCATGCTGCTCTGTTCCTGTTCTTGCAAGTGCCGTGGTATAAAGTTATCTGTCTCCTGCTTTGTGCCTTGGTTCTGACTTATTTCAGCCCCAACTACTTACGTTGTTTCAATGTTTCTGGCTCCTTTTCAAAATGCCACTCACACAGCCCAGTTCTTCTTCCTAGAGATGAAGGGCTGTGTACCATGCTAAACAGCCCTTGTGATAATCCCAAGACATCTCCATGGATAAGCTTTTCATCTTCAAAAAATAAAGAGTGTTTAAAAGATGCTCAGAAAATATCTAATGGAATCAGTTAGGCAAAGAAAATAGAGACGGTTTGTCTAAAAGCTTTGGTGAGTCATAAAGAGGATGTTAGTGTTTATTTTAAGGCAATTATGTACCCTCTCTGTGAAGGGTAAAGTGAAGCCAAGCTTATTTATCGGCCAAAGAAGATTTGCCAGCCTGGGCTTATAGATACCTGCATACATGCACACTCATGGAATCAACTTCTAATGCTAAACAAAAGATATATGCTAAACAAAAGATGAACCACAAGATATATTCCTATTTTTCTTTTACCTGAAACAAAATATGTTAAAATTTGAGGACATTTATAGCAAATAGAAGCCAGCATTTGAATCAGGTTAAAATGAAATAGAAATAGTATCTTTAGTGTGAAATCAATCTTAGGATGTAGTTTTCTGTATGATATCAGGAACTGGAGGTTTAACCTTCTGTCTTCAGAATTGCACATTCATCATCTAGATTTGATTACAATATTGCTGCAAGCAATGCAAGTATAAGTCATATCTCATGGAATAAATAGCTGGACAAGCAATGACTTGTTTCAGAAGAAGTGACTAAATGCTGAAGCAAAAGGAATAGGCAGCAGAAATCAATAAAAGGAACGAAATACTCATAAAACCTACTCAAGTTATCCTAGAGCACAAATACAGTCTAGAATAGCAGTGGAGAGAGGGAAGGGGATATAATGTGTATGAATACCGCCCCACCCCCAACATAGAGGTAGCAAGGTTTTTTGCTAGCCTAGGATTTTCTTGGCCAGGCCCTAAGAATAATTTATGTGAATATCTTCCAGTGGAAATCCTACGGGAACAGCAGCTGTACTTGCACTTGCTGCCTTATGGTAGTTTGAATTGCATTTCCAATCAGATATCTTGTCTTCCTATGCACCCTGAAGTCTTACACAATGAATTTCTTGATATGGGAGTGGGGTGGGATTGTGGGATATGGAATGTATATTTTAATGTTGTAAGCTGCCCTGGATGCGTTGCACAGAGGAGTGGGATAAAAATAATTTTTTTATTATTATTATTTGCTGGAAAACTATAATGAGAAGAAACCAATATGCATGCTGCCCTCATAACCATTAACCTTGTGATCATCTGGGAAAGTGACTTTCATTGATATACTGTTGTCAACACATTCCAGGATGCATCCCTTTCTCAAGGAAATCCAAAACACCCCCCCAACACACATTTAAATGGATTAAGTGGTAAGGTTGAAACAACTTCAAAAGAGCACAAGGGTAGAAACTGGCATGTTTCTGTTATTGTCTTTTTTTGGGATATATACTCCACAGTGCGAGACTCGAAATCTCATCATATATTGGCTGGCGCATGTGGCTCCTGCCATTTGGTGTTCAGCTTTCAAGTGGGCAGGTTGTGCTGCTGCTCCAAATTCATTTTCTTTGGAGCTGAAAGTACAAAGGCAGGCCTAATGAGGAACATAAAGAAAATACAAATAATGACCATGAAGGATCTACATGAGTCCAACCCTGACAATAAGGGAATCAAGAGAGTTAAAAGATTTCCCATACTTTGCATCAAACTTTGGTCAGAACAGAGAGTGCAGTCAAAAAATAAGACGAGGATGAGGAATGGGTAGGGAAGCGATGAAAGAACTAGATAAGATCCTATAGAGTAAAGATATACAACTGAGCACTAAAGTTTTAATCATCCAACTGTTGTGAGAGCTGGACAGTGAAGAAACTGGAAAAGAAGAAAATCAACTCATTTGAGAAGTGGCGCTGGAGAAGAATGCTCAGAATACCATGGACAACCAAAAAGACAAACATATGGATCCTAGAACAGAT